GTTAACCGTCAACAGGCCATTCCCGGAGGTTGTGAAGCAACGTAGGTGGTAGATTTTTGTTGGCTCTAAGCTCGAAGAGCGGTTGGATGGGGTGTTTCATTGAGGGGCCGAGTGCATCCACACTTCTGAGTCTTGACTTGCATCTTTCCTTTTCGTTTCCAGAAACAGCCAATTTTGCTTGGATTGCTGCTGTGGTGATTGCAATTGTATTCATCCTCATTGTCATCATTGTCAGCGTCTGGTTATGCACTCGCAATCGTGGGGAGACCTACAAACTCTCCAAGAAGGAGTACAAACTCGGCAATGATCCTCTCCGTGAACTCAAAGAAAAAGAGACATTTCAGACCTATGAAAGGCCGTGAGTAGAGTGTTAAAATTTTGCATCCCTTTCGGCGTTGTTGTGGAAATGTAGCTCCTTTCAACGTCCCTACATTCGCAGTTTTGAATGCGAGTCTGATTAGGGAAATGCGATGGGTCAGAAAATTTTGTGCAATTTTTTGTATTTCTCATCCTTCTGTCCGTCCGCTCCACAATCCACTCCAGCCCTACCGCACCACCACCCAATTTTGGTGGATTCATTGCGGCTTCTGGAGCGTGTCATATGTCAACCTGTGGCATGGAAACGCATCCAAAAGTTCGAGCCTTCACTGGTAGATGCGTGCGAAAGTTCATGTGCAGAAGGCAGTAACAACACCAAAGTGATATGCCAGTGAGAGTGTGAAATCTGAGCAATGAAATGTGATGTCACACGCCGTGTTGCCATTTCTGAGGTGCTTACATTACTTAGCAAAACAAATTTGAGGGATGAATTTGTCCGATTCTTCGTTCACGGATGTCCAAGTTGTTGGCATCGCCTCCAAGGCTGCTGCTAGCCTCTGCTGTCGTGGTGTTCGGATTGGGGAGAGGCAGTGGAATGGAGAAGAAGTTCCAAGCCGATAGCTAAGCTCAGGCACAGAGGACGATCTTGTATCGCCACACTGCGTCTTTGGAATGAGATGGCAGGAAACACCTTCTTCGTCACCTCCACCTCCATCGCTTTGGGCCTTGTGTTTGCACTGGGTCAATCCCTTTACAACTCCCTAGGCG